ATATTATGGTTTGTACATTGGCTAGTTTAGTTGATGGCAATGAACTATTAAAATTTAAAGAAAAATTATTCATTTTCTTTTCGAGTAAATTGATCAAAAAGATAAAGGAATTTTTTTGTAATTTTATTCCTGTTTTGTATTTTCACTTAAAGAAAGTAATTTTTTTCCTAACAAAACAAAAAAATTATTATTTGTTGCAAGTGTACAAAAATATTTGTGTTTCATATTTTTTTTATAACATAGTTTCTATTAAAATTAAGATCTTGGAATAAAGCTGAAGAATGTTAGAAGAATGCTTTTATGATAATAACAAAAAGCAGTATAAATCAAAAAATTCGAAACAAATTTTAAATTAAGATTAACGTCTTTGAGACCGACTAAATTTTAATAAATTATTGATAAAACTGCAGACAACTTCAAAAAGATCAAACCCTTTTATTACCTTTCTAAAATAATACACTTATTAATCTCATATACAATTTTCACTTGGGACAAACTCTTGGTAATATTATGAAATTTCCCCGCAACAAACATAGCAGTGAAAATTTGCATTTGCTACGTATGCCAAATTAATTTAGATACCGACCAAAATAACCAATAGTTTCAAATTGAATTTGGGTCTAATAATTTGAAGACAAAATCTGATTATTCAATGTGTATGAATACGTAAAACTAATGTTGAACTTGTAGACAATTATTTCACCAATATTAAGCTTAATTTGTATATTAAATTAAAAATCTTTTATCTTCAAATATGGCAATGCTGTTCTAGAATTCCTCATTTAATCACAATTTATTTACTTACTTCCAAAAAATAAAATAAATTCAAATCAAACACAAATTTTGGTTTACTTTGTGCCAAATACCGCGTGTTAATTGTTTAATTTTAAATATTTTTGACCTTAATTGAAAATTTTCTAATTCTGCTTCTTCCAAAGACTTATTCATCTCCCTCCCTTCACTCCTATATTATTACTTTTCTTTAATAATTCATTACGCATCCAAAAAAGAAATCCTAAAAACTCTCATTTTAAATTTTTTTGAATCACATATGGCATACCAATACCAACAGAATACCAACAATTTATTTAACAAAAATTTATTTTCTAGAATTTTCACTAAAATCGAAAAATCATATCGATTTTATTTTTTGTTCTGGAAATGACAAGTGAGCGCCACAAACAATTTTAAAAAATTATAATTGAAATTGATTGTAGGTATATAAAGAGAAAGACGTATATATGTACATGTAGAATGCGTAATTGTCAACTCAAATATAACAGTTTCCGAAAGAAAAAAAAACATGATCAATGATTAGATTATTGCTTTTGTCATAATTTTCTATATGTGAATTGGCAAGACACAAAAGAAAAAAAATTATATATAAAAATTGAATATCAAAGGTCTGTTCACTTATTTTAATTGTACATAGCAGTAATGGAACTATACAGCATTGCGAAAAAAAAAGAAACAGAATTTAAAATTAAATTGATGGACAACAAACATATTGACAATTGAAAAGTAACAAAATATTCGACATTTAAACGAGCATGATGATGCTTCAAGAAAAAAATGAAAATTGAAAGCAAATGGAAAAAATATCATAACTGCCTTGAAATAATAAAATTGTTGTATTAGAATATTTACATAAAATTTGGCAAGAAACTTTGAAATTAATTTGTAATTAGAGACATGAAGCACACGTTCTCTGTACGTAATATGAGAAGCAATTATTTTACTGCATTATGACAAAAAATTTCAATAATATTTGCAATTTTAAAATTTACAAAATTTTGAAATTTATTTAAAATTTTTGGTTTTTCTTTTAGAAAATATTTAATTTGGTTGATTTATTTTTCGAAAATTATTAATAAATAAATTATTTTAATATAAAACTACATACATATATAATATGTATGCTTATACCATATATAGAATACCTAGGAGAATGGTATTCGAGCTGTACCAGAAATCAACAAAATTCTACTTTAATATTATAGAGATTTCAGTTTCAATAATGAATTATTCAATATTATTCTTAATATTCGAAAACAAAGAAAATTACGCCCTAATGTGTTGATTTTTCGAACTTGTTTCCGAATATTAATTTTTATTGTTATAATAACTACAAAATTTTAATTATTTATTGAAAATTTTTATAATGTATTCGTTTAAGAGAAAAAAAATAGTTCTCTCTATCACTTTAAATTTCAAATTTAAGAAAAGAATTAAATCACCTTTGTTTGTATTATGCCTTCGCCATAATTTATTTTATGCGTCATAAAAAATTTTCGAAAATCAACAGACTAAAACGAACATAAAAGCGCAACAAGAAGAAAATATCTTGTATTCTTCATCATAATTAACATTTTTATAATGCGTTAAATTTTTCAAAAAAACTTAAAAAAGAAAGAAAAAATTTTTCCAATTTTAAAAAACAAGAAATTTTTTTTTGAGAACAACATGTCGCATGTAGATAATGTACTTATAGCGTCACTTAGGAAAAAACCATAGATTTGAAATTCGCAATTAAATTTTATTGTGATTTCAGTAAATTTCAATAAATTAAACAATAAAGGACAGGATAACAATAAGTCTGGCATAAGAAAGTTTTTAAAAATTTTATAAAACTTGAAAATACTTTAAAAAATTTTAGTACGCTTAATTACTTTTTAAGAAAAAATGAGAGAAAATGATGACGTCATCGTTTTCTCAATTTTTAAAGTTTTTCCAAATAGATTTCACCTACCGACATCGACGCTTTTTCATACGTCACACGACGATTATTTTACACTTTAACTGACTGATTAACTTGAATAATAAAAAATAAATAGTAGCTTTTAAATTAACAGAAAAGGTTATACATATGTTCGTAATATGTCACGGTTTTAACAACAAACTTTTATTGCAGAAAAAGTTTTTTTTATTTAGATATTACAAAATTTTTGTTTAAAATAATTATCAATATTTTTAACAGAGGAAAAAACAAAATCGCAGCCAAATCGCAAAAAGAGCACCCGGGGACATAAATTTTCAAATCGGAGCCAGACGACTGCAATGTCAAGTTTCAATCTTAACTCATAAGATTGTTTACTACAATTTATCTATTTCACTATTTTTTTTTCAAATGTCAATGAAAATTAAAATGTGTCAGTCACTCTGTCGTAGAAATTATCAATTTTATTATAGTTATTTTGATATCGCGTTACATATTATTCCGTAATATCAATTCGAACTCAAAGAACAGTCGAAAGTACATTAAAGTTAAGCTAAACTTTAACTTTTAAAATAAAATTTGTTCTCATGTAATGTTCTCACACTAAATTTTTTTTATTAATTACAAAATTTTGTTGCATTGCATGTAAACCTATAGGTGTCTGCCTAATTTTAATACGCAAATTTATATGAAATTTTCTCCCTTCTCATTACAAATTATTGTAATGTGCCAAAAAAACAAAAACTAAACACTATAGGTAATTTTTATAATTAGTGCTTATGTAAATTTGCTAAAAATAAAAAAAAAATTCTCATTAAGTAAAATTGCAATTTTTTTTTTGTTTATTTGGAACACAAAAATTTATTTATTCTATTTTCTAAAACTAATTTAAAATAAAATTTTACATGCTATAAAAATTCCCCGACGACATCACGTCACTTTTATTTTTTTTATTTTTAATATGAAAACTACCAAAATATTGAAAACATTAAAATGCACAAATCACATCCCATAGACCAGAATAGTAAATATCTCGAATAATTTTAGATTTCTAGTGTATATATAGTTTAATACAATGCTATTGTCTGCGAATACACAGTCTTTGTTTTCCTCAAATATTGTGAAGATGAATATACGTTCGTCTACATTCATACATTAATTTTAAGGGAGAAACGTCTTCAATTTTTACCTCTTAAAAATATACTCACATACATAAGTATGTAAACAAAAGTTTTTGTACTGAATTTTCTCGCTTTTTTCGTTTTCATTTCTTAAAAATAATTTCTTTAACAATAAGATTATTCATTCAGGAAAGAAAAAACAAAACAATTTTTGCTTTTTTGTTTTTTTGTAATAAAATAAAAATGAAAACCAAAACAAAACAATATTGAAGTTGTGACACGACACAACAAAACGTCGACGATAATGTAACCAAAACGTTATAATATTTTTGACAAGATGCCAAATAAATTAAAACAAAAAAGAATAGAAAAAAAAAATAGAATATTATTGTTGAAAATTAAAATAAAAATAAAATGTAAATAAATAAATTAATAATAGAATCGAACCACATAGAACACAATAAATTAAATTTGAGAAAAGAGAAGATACAAAGAGAGTATAGAGAATAACAATTTGTAAATACGACGACAAATTTGATGCGGAAAAAATTCAAAACGTCATTGTCTTGTCATACAGAAAAAAAAAATATTTTTTTTTTTACACATTTCATACAAAAATAAATACAGAGACATCTATATTTTATACAAATAAGCTTTAATGTCATTCACACCTTAAAATTTTTAATTAAAATATTTAGGTTTATGTATATGTGTAGCTGTACGTATATTAGTGAAAAATCATTAAAACAAACGACTATTGCACTTTTTATAAAGAAATGAAAAAACAAACAAGAAAATTGCGCAGTTTGTCACAAGGTAAGTAAAATTAAAATTAGATGTCAATTCACGAGAGAATAAGTAAAATATAAGTGAGCTATTTTTTTGACAACATCAAAGTACATATTATGTAATAATGTAAAAAATAAATCGATCTGTCAAAAAATTCAATGATATTTCTTGGTAAACAGGCTCACGTGACAAAGCTCATTCTTTTTTATTAAAATAACTGAATATAAATTTAATAAGGTCTCATGATGAGATCGTGGCTGTAAGTTTAAAAAATTGAATTTTATTTTGTCATTTATACATACAAACATACATTCATAATTGCATAATAACAGTATATTTTGTAACATTAATTTATAATAAAATTTTCTAATTACCTTGGCTGATGTTGGATTACATTTTAAAGCGCTATCTGCATCCGCTAATGAGCTTTTAAAATGATTTAATCTATATAGAACTTCTGATCTTAATAAAAGGCTATTCACATGTTTTGGACCTGAAAAGGCAAAAAATAAATAACAAAATTTAATAAAATATTTATAATTAATTAATTTAAGTGTTGTAAATTTTAAAACATTTATATTAGAATCTATATATGAAGAGCTATGTTAAATTCGAATTTTAATAAATTTTAACTACATTACAATTGCATTACATTCATCTCCACTATTTTGATTATTATTTAAATTCAAGAACCTGTTTATATTCAAATCCCCTCCAATATTCAATTTATTTAAATAAAAAATCCCAAATTATTGTTCTATTTTCATAATTCTATTAAATGACACTATATACGCTTATCATATATAATTTAATTTAACAAAACAAAACCAAAAAAAAATAAAATCTTTGACTTTTAACAGAAAATTTTAATATTTCATTTCAGTTTTGGATTTCTTTCTTTAATAAAGCATAAACCAGAAAATTATTTAAAAAAAAAAGCTGAAATTTTTCCCAAAAACTTTACTATAAAAATCCAATTAAAACGTGAAGAATAATGGGCAAAAACAGAAAACCAAATAAACTAAAAAAATAATAAACAATATGGAATTTACTTTTCCTACATTATATTTAAATTGGATTATCCTTATTATCCTAGACAAATAATAATAAATTTTATTGTATGAAAAAAAAAAACAAAAATAAATAAAATACAAAAAGAAAAATCTTCACTAATATTTTTAAATCCTCTCTTATTTATTATATTATTTCTGTTTCCTTTTTTTTTCGTTTTCTTTCTCTCTGTTTTTATTCCTTGCTCTTTGCCATTTTCTATATTAATAAGAGAAAGAAACAAAATTAGACAGAAACAAATTAACCATTAAGTAATTATGATGAGCGATGAGCTGTTGAACTAAAAATTTTGATGAGAATTCGTAGAGTTAGGTGTATAAGGCCGAATTCCTGTTGTACTTATTAAATTTTTGCAAGAGTTAGAAAAAGAATTCGAACAAAATTTGAAAAAACTCGTTACTAATGGTCCTTTACACTGGTTTCTCCTTATAAATTATTGTAACATGTTCATTCAAAATTAAAATTCGGCTTACAAACGGTAGTTTTGTCGGATGAAATTACGAACAAAAATCAGGATGTTTTTAATGTAGAGGCTGCTTGTTTATATAGGGTACATATAATAAAGGATTTCATATAAGAACATGTGATGTACATGGTACGGCAATTGAATTTTTTAATATGTCACATAACAATATGTAGGCAAATATGCGTTGCATAGTCCCATCACTTGACGTAATGGGTTATTATTCAGAAACGTTGCAATTTTCTGAATAAAATCTATTTCGAAACGTGAAATTCTATAATGAAAACTGCAACAATTTTCAATTGTTAACCCTATTATATCAAATGTGGTGACTAAAAGAATAGTGGTGGAAGATTTCACCGAATTCTTCTTCTAATTTTGAATAGATTCTAAATTTCAATTATTACATTCAATTTGTATTTATAAAAAAAAAATTATGTAAATCTGCTTAGCTCTGTAGATATCTGCTCAAATACTAATATAGTGTTCAACTCATCAATATACTCTTGTCTCATAAATTGCTATAATTGGACGGAAAAATTCACTGATTTCAATTTTTCTTTAAAATAAATTTCATTATTTTTTTTTTTGGATCATTACTTAAAATTCCCTGTCTGTTTTAACTTTTTTCATTAAACTTTTTTAATGTTAAGTAGAAAATAAAAGATGCAAACAAAAGGATTTTAAATAATATTGTAAGAAATAACCATAAAGTGGAATAAAGGACGTTAATAAGCATAGAAAAGGCGGCATGAGGACAACAAACAAAGGAAAATAAAATGCGTCTTTCTTTTCGTTTCTATTCTTTTTCTTTTTATTTTATTATTGTAAAACATGAAAAAAAAATCAATAACTATAAAAGAGAAAAATGTCAAAAGAAGACAATGAAGTTGCCACTAACAAGTAAAAAAGCAAAAAAAAAAAAAAATAAAAAATCTTTAAGGACTTTAAAATTTATTTTTTGCCTCTTTATTTTTGTTGTCCTTTCGCTACATTAAAAATAAAAATGGTATCAAACGTCAACTAAGAGTTTTAAAACAAAAAATAAAGGAAGTCGCGTTAAAAAACAGTTAACCAAAAAAAAGAGAACAAAAAGAAATTTTCAATAAAAGTACAAAAACAAACATCCTGTGCACATTTATGATGACACACAAACTCCATTCCATATAACAGATAAATTCAAGGACTTGCAAAAGAATTACTATTTTTCAGTACAGACTTTTTAATTTTGTATGTCCAGCGAATATTTTTTAAATTTATGAGGCGCTAAAATATTCGTGACAGCTTGAACATGAAAAAAAAAATTTTTAATTCAATGTTCTCAGATATTTTATTGCTTTTCATTGGTGTTGTTGCTGTTGGAATCAAACTTCATTTTTTAGATTTACGATTATATATTTTTCTACATTTAACATTTAATATTACAATTCGTTTTTGATATACAAGGTTACCATTATATACAGTTCAATTCTTGCTATCAGTACAAAAATATAATAGAATTTTGTATAAAAGTACACATTGGAGTTGTTGCTGCAATGCTCTGCTTTCTGGTAAATTTTTAGATAATGGTGTTAAAATAGGGCAATTTAAAGTAATAGTAAGAGTGAGAAGCAAGATATTTATTTTTAAAATGAATCACCATTTTTATTTTAGCAAAAATAAAAACCTATAGATTTCGACTTTTAATTATTAAGAGTTAAGCATTTCTTTTGATTATAAATATAGTCAGTTTCCCAGAAAATAATTTGCAAAAGTGATGAATTCAAATACGCTTGTGTCATAAATTCCACTTGAGGCTGCTAACTGCATGAATTACTGTTCTCATTGCTAGTACAAGCCTTTGTCAATTTCAATTTCTTGTGCATTCTTTTAGGTGCTACTACATTCGCAAGAACAATTTTTTTAAAATGAATGCTATAATTGTATATGACAGTAATTTGAAAATGCAAGTAATTCCCGAGATTTAAATTATCGTCAGTTTGATAACGTTCACTGTGAAAGTGCCATATATTGAAGACATTTACCGAGACTATTGTCGTAAATTCTCTTATACCCAAGCTAGTATATTTGAAAGTACATAAAAAATAATCTTTATTATGATTGATTTTCACAATTCTCATTGCCATTGTTTTTAAAAAAAAAATTATTTGCATCCAAAAACCCAGCTGAATTCACACAATAGCTTTTATAGTTTAAAAATTTTTCAAAAAATATTTATTACTCTTTTATCAACACTGGCTATTATTTATGAAGGGCAAATAGTTTCAGCAATATGCAAAGACAATAAAATATAAGATGACAGTAAAACTTCAATGTCATTTCCTTTTTCCCAATTTTCTAGCTCCACTTTTTATTTTATTTTTTTGTTTTTTCTGGTTTTTTAATTTTCATAAATTTTATTAAGTAGTGGTTATTTTTTTTTTTTGTTATTTTCTCTATTTGGTTTCATTGCAGATAATTAAAATTAGGTACAATGCTGGAAGCAGTAAAACAAAACCAAAACATAAGACAAGAGAAAAAAAACCAGAAAAAAAAATAATAACAAAACCGGAAAAACATAATACGGAAGCAAAGCATGCAATTGTATTATAGTAATATGATAAAAATTTCTAAATTGCTTGCATGCTAGTAAAAATGTTATTAAAGAAATCTGAAAACAACACAGAAAAAAGAGGAAGAGAAAAAGTAATAATGAAATAAAGAGAAGGCAAAAAAAAAAAAAAACTCTATTGCTTTTTATTCTGTTTTTCATGGTCAATGCAGCTGCCTGCTTATATCATCATGTCATCACAGTAAATTTGTGACTCTACATTTTAACAAAAAAAAAAATATGTACAAGAAAATAAAAATTGCTTGCATCTGCACATGCTGTAATTTTTTTTTTTGAAATTCTTTTTAAAGAGTCAAAAATATTTTGGATTTTATTTTGTAAAAACATGCAACATTAATGGAGAAATGTTATTGTTATCATTGTTATTGCTACTGACTCTGAGTATTGGGTACTGTTTTATAACTGCTCTCATTGCTCTGTTCTGCTCTGATATTTTTTTTGTTACAAATGCTAAAAATTAAAGAGATTTTTATTCTTGTTGTAATTGTTTTTTTTTTTTTTTTTTTTTTGTTATTGCATTTTTTCTTTTCATTTTAATTCAATTTCTTATTAAGTGTACCCAATAATAATAATAGTAATACTGTTATGTAATATTATACAGACAACCAAGTGCATAGTACTCTTATAGTGTTAGTTTGTGCATCCAACATTAAAAAATTGCTTTTTTTTCTATCTTTATATTTTAAAATTGAACTTGCAAAAATTAAAAGCATATCAGATAGCAAAAAAAATAAAGTAAAATTTAAGTGAGATTTTTTTATTTAAAGCAAAAAGTTGTCATACAGGTTTTCTGCTGTTATGCAAAAAACAAAAACTACAACGAGACAGACAATAATAATAAAATCTGTATATATACATACATATTTCTAGACGATATATATATGTATATAGAAAATGGGGAAGTAAATTGGTTACTGTTTGGCCTTCAAAAAAAAAAAAAGTAACTAGTGTGTACAAGTAATTGATTGCTATGAAGTGATACGATATTGAATGTTGTGTTATGTTGTGTGGTAGAAAACTGGTGTGTTTTTTGTATTTGTAAGCGGGAGAGGTGGAAGGAAAAACGGAATAAATGTAAATATAAAAATAATTTTCATGTTTTCCCACTCATTGCTGGTTTCGTCATTCCAAGTGTTCATTTTTCATCGAATTCTTCAGTTCGAAGTCAATTTTTGAGTTATGGCAGCATTTTTGTTAAAAAAAATGAGAAAAACAAAAATAATTTTTTGTTAATTTTGCTTGCTACGGAAATTATTTTGGTCTTTGTAATGGCAACTTTGATGGTTATTGAAGAGTAATGTAGACGAAAATATTACATAATATTTTGTGAATTAGCAGGTACACACTC